CATTTAAAATGGCACAAAATGGGCTACTCGTGGGGAAACTTCAGAGACAACTGTCATCTTGTTTTATGATGCACAGAGACTCGACAGTACTTGTAAAATGAACCCACGTTCAGTTGAGATGCGCAGCTACGCCTATCACATCTCAGAGATTTCGAGTGTAGCTGCGCTGCACTCCGTACACCGTCACGTACCCTATCGTTTACGAAGATCATGATTGTTGATGACAGCGCCACAAAACCGTAGAAAGCTACAAAAACATATGGCAAGCTAGAGTATGGGCTTTTTCAAGGGGAGAGGACTTGGATGTGTATGAATCACTTATCATGCTTGAAAAGTAGGTTTGCATGAGATCTTTCACAAGAGGTGGCCAGAGAACGCCGTTCAGTTGAGAAAAACAACGAAATATCACAAAAATAAAAATTATAACTAAAACAGAAATTATCACTCTATCTAGTTTTTACAGCAGTTTTTACTCGAAGCTCGCCGAATCTTCTTCGGTCGTTCACGATATTTTTTTGTACCGACTTTACTCCTTTTTTAGCTTTCCTCTTTATTCTAATGGGAAAGTTGGAGGAGTGCTCTTGCTTAGTTTCCCAGTTTTTATTTCCTCTTCTGCAGTGCTTTTGTCCATCAAAAATGAGACGACAAAATTCCTTTGCTTAGAGGAAACTACATCCTACAAATGCACGAGAGGACTACGGTGTCTTTTTTTGTGTTGTTCGCAATTTCGCACTACACTTTTTCCATATATCCAGGACCGCTATTTCTAGTATTCGCACTTTCTTAGATGGCTTTCTGTGAGCTTCTGCCAAATTGAATCATGTCGGTGATCGTAAGCAATTTCGATCACCTCTCCATACATATCATTTTCTGGGTGATTGAATTAGGTTAGTGTGCCAGCGCTGCGCCTCGGGGCCATATTCACCAAGCTAAACAGCATATAATGCATTCCGATAAAAAGCGCCAGGCGCATTCGGGAGGGAAAACGTTCTACACCGAACCTACATAGACAGCACTGATCATGGGCCAGAAATATTCGGCAACCCCTTCATGAAAGAAGGATAACTGTGATACGCTGCCGATATTTTTGGCCTAATAATCATTCGCATAGATATTTTCTGGCGTCCAAGAAAGTGTAAAGAAAAAGGAGATCTACGTTTGAAGTGAAAAAGCAACAAGTTCATAATAGAATGGATTGGGATAGAACCTGACCACAGTAAAGGCTTAAGGTCTAAGCCGACCTCAAGCCGCTGCTCCACCTCAAGAGTCCTTATTTTTCCCCATAACATTAAAGCTTTGGGAGGTCGTACTCCTATTAGAGAAGAGTGGCGCTACTGCAAACGACCGGAGGGTACGCGAAACCACTTGCGGACCAGCTCTTCTCAGAATGATAAACTAACTGCATATTTCCTTCAACAACCCCTTAGTAGAAACCAGTCATTATATCAGCAAAAATCTCATCAGCACTGGTTAAGGCCTATAGCTGCTAAACAGGTGAAACCGGAAGATTTTCCTTTTTAGGAGCAACCGCAATCTCGAAGAGTGCCTGAATCGTTGTAACAAATCACAGGAGACAGCTATACTTTTGGCAGGAATCAAATCGTGGCAAAGAACTTTTGCGAACATCTGGAAAGGTTAGTATCACATTGCGTGCATTGCCGGGCACCTCTTGGAGATGCGATTTCCTGCGTCAAACGAGCTAAGGGCGACTGTTGTCATGGGGCTTTTCGTGAGACAGACCATGATGGTCGTGATAGCCAATTTAGGTCGACTAAATTCATTTTCCTGATACGTAGAAGAGTGGAAAGCAAAACTGTGAGGGAATCAATGCCGTCTCGCCCACACACTTCGGGAATCCAAAAATTTCATAATTCTGAAATTCACCGCTGTGCGACAGAGATAATACTTTATTCACCTGTTTACGGAGCTAGTAATAGACTAAGTAGTAGGCCAACCAAATGCAAGTTCTGGACCTCCAATTGTTAATCGAATTTCGCGCAAACCTACCGATTTTTTTTCTCCTAGAAAGGCAAATAGGGATAAATAGGAACAAACCGGGGCATAAAAGCATGGGCTTGTGTATCAGCTGGCCCGCGCAAATACAGTCTTGTTCGCCCAGATGCTGAGGCTTTTCATGGGCTTGGCACGACGCCAGCCCGTTTTCCACGTGTTGCGGAGTGACTCCGCTGAAGAGGAGCGGATGAAACAGAATAGACGAACGGCTAGCATAAAAAGCAAAGGAAGATGCCAGTGAGCGAAGGGTGAAAAGAACAAGTGGCGAAGCTCCGCGAGAACGTCCAATTTTATGCTCCTTTAGCCCACTCGGTTTATTATAAGACTGTACGATTATCATGTGACTATACTCTTTTTGCTAAATATTACTTCAGAAGTGCGAGCGCAGTTCCCATGTTGGCGAGAGAATGGGCATGAACTATCGCAGTCATGTCGGCCACAGACGGTCAGCCTAAAAGAAAGCATGCATCAGTTCGCTCGTAATCAGTCGGAGCAGAACATTCAAAACATCTGCGCAGGTTTTGTCTTTCAATTTCGTTTATGAAATCGTCTAAAAAAGTGTCCCCCTCCTGAGTCGCATATTGCTTCCTCAGTCACTCAGAAATGGGGCTTTCCGGCTTATAGAAAATGGTTTGCTTATTTCTGTTGCGCAGCTAGAATGTCTCACACAAGCTGCTCTTCTTCTGCTGCTCTCTATATGGGATGGCAGCACCGTGATGTGTAAGTAGGACCTTGCCCCTCCGAGAGAGGGTCGTCGTGTGCGACGCGATCCCTCCCCACCTAAGTGAGGGTCTCGGTACGACCCCTTTCCCCAACACCTACTTACAAATTCCCACTTTAAGTTTTTTCACCCGCCTGGGAAGCGGGGAAAGCGGGGGGGGCGAGCGCTACAAAGTGCACATGAACATGGCAAAAATCACGCAAAAAGTCAACAACCCAAAAATATCGCACAAGGAGACCAAATTACGAGTCCCCTCTAAGAGCAAAAAGTACGACCCCCCTATGTGTATCACCAACCAAAACCCACCCATGATTGCCTAACCAGTCCCCTGCTAGGCGAATGCTGAAGAGTATGACACTAGTGAGTAGTCAAATATAGCCAACTAACCGTAGACGCCATCATGTTCTGGAGAATTTTTGCCGAATGGAGCCTCCTCCACCAATAGTGCCTCCTCTATTCCGACCCCTTCTTCACCTTCCCTCTAACCGCCTTTTCTATCGATATGCACCCACATATCATCATCGTGTAATTTCAGTGACTATGACAAATTCTCAACTTGTTTCACGCAAGAGCACGGAAAGTTATGTGGATATCGATCAGAAATCGTGAGTTCCGTTTTTTGAGGTCGATTTCCGAAATTCTGGAAAACACAGCATACAGTCTCGTCCGCGGACGCTGAGTCGTCTCAGAGGGAGTGGGTTTGGCGCGGGGCCAGCCCATTCACCAACTAATCAGTGATCCATGTCTACTTTGGAATAAGACTTCTTTCTACTCCTTCTATCCTTTCCTTAAACAGTTGGGCACAGAAAGCTCTTCCAATTCAAGCGTTCTTACGATTTGTGCGCCTAGTGTTTGTATTTTCTTAAGGGGTTATTTATTCCATTGTGTTAAGAGAAATAAAGAAACGACGGTTTGTTTTTACTGAAACTATGATATAAACCCGCACGGCCATGAGATGCTTCTGAACCTCAACTACGCTTTCCACTACAACGCAGGAGCCACACAAAACAAAAAAGATATTTATTGTCCCCAATGCTAGGGAAAACGTTTCCTACACCACGTTTAAGTGAAATACGCAGCCTCTGCCGTCCACCTTTCGAGAATGGTCTATTATTCATAAAAAATTATTTCCTTCCTAATCGTTGACATGCCGCTTCCTGGGCGCAATAAGTAAGTAAATAGCCATAATTGGAGTGTCAAGCGCATGTACATATGAAATTTGAAACTGTCACATCGTTGTCGATTGGCACTAATGCATTAGATCATTTCTCTCAGGTAAAAACCCTTAATTAGTTAACGGGAGTCAAATTTATGGGACTGCAAGTGGACAAAAATTACAGCATCGCGGGGAGCATACGCTAAGCTCTCATGTTGGGATATCCGAACATCTCTACAGACGATTTTTCTAAGCTGTACATATTACGCTGCGCAGAACATCTGTTTTTTGAAGACAGATCTCGCTCTGTACCTATTTGTGGGAGTCTTTCCTTGCCCAGGGGGTCCGGCACGTAATAGAGAACAATGTCCCTTTTTCGCGGCTCTACAGTGTGTGACGAGGGTGCGGCGGCCATCAGAAGTTGCAGTTATATAGACAACGCTATACAGTATTTTTTTATATTATGATAACTGCTGTTTTACGCCGCAGTTCGCCCTCCCTCCGAAAGTCACCACAAGAATGCTGAGTTAAGGGCAAAAGTCGAACCCCAGGCGGGAGTCGAACCCGCACCTCACGCTTCCCGAAAGGGGTATGTGACAAGAGAATCGTAATTCGTCCGCGCTGGTGGGCGACGTCGCGCCCGCAAATGACGATGGTTCCAGGTAGTAGATGGCGACAACAGGCAATTCAGAACCGAAAATAGTCATGAATGTCTACGATATTGGGGTCTACATGAAGTCCGGTGCTCCAATCGACAGGTTAACACGAGTTAAGAAACGCCGCGTCCATCGCCGCGCGCGGCGGAGCGACAAATTACGATCGTCTTGTCCATCTTAATTCCAGCTGAGTGCGCTATCCAATATGCCACCAGGGCCGCTTTTACCCTCTCAGCTCAACGGCTTTTATGCCGTAGCCTATCAGCATTCACACGTTCAACATGTTGGAGCTATACAGTATCCCTCTGAGCCAAGCAAAGCAATTTTTCTTCCTTCTTTGTAGAATGTAATTGTACATTTGCTAAAATGTGCTCAATAGCTCGGTAATTGCAGATAACTGGTCGTATGTTCCACAATAACAGAGAGGCGATGTTCAACATGCTGAAGATCCGGTGGTCTACCCTTCCGTCTCAATGTGGCTACTCACATTTGAGACGAGATACATATTCTAGTGAAAAATACTCTCTTTTCAGAAGTTCAAATCATTATGCATACGCTACCGTAGTGTTGAGTTTATTGTTACAGTTCTCGGTAGACAGACTTTAACCTGACGAAGACACAGGCGGCCCTACAGATTCTCGTTTATCCTTAATGTTATGCCGTCATTTTCTATGGATATCGATCGAAAGGACTGGTTTCACATAACGAGCTTTCTCCCCCCCCCCCCTGAACCAGCATATTCTCAAAAATGTTTTCTTGCATAGCTTGCAAGAGTTAAACGAATTGCGCTAGGCTGCGTAAAGCTGCCTTAGAACTGATTCCTATAACATTATTCCACTAAGACTGGCCAAACCGGAAACTCGCGGTCGATTACAATCAACATTTGAGTAAAATCTGTACATAAACTCCGCCACATTCCTTATTTCATAAACCCATCTTTCACTTTTTACTGCTTGCCGTTTTCTCCCTGATCTGGTCAACTCATATCATTCCGACTTTTTGCTGTGTCCACTTACCTTCAAACTGGATTCTTTTGGTGTTGCTGTTTTGACTTTGTAAATTATTTTTCTGTCTTGGAATAAAGAAGTTCAGAGTTTGATGATCCATTTATGTGGCAGTGAGTGTTCTTATTGTACTGAAGCAAATACACTTGTTTCGAAGGGGGGTACCCCGTAGAGCGCACACAACTTCGCAGAACCCGTGACCCATGTGCAAGCTGAGAGTATGAAGGTGCAACTATTTGCCATTTGGGCGCCGTTCAGCCTAGAGGGGAGTAGGGGGTGCTAATTTTCAGTTCGCCGGCTTCGTTTGCTAGTTCCTGTTGGAGTGCATGTCTCACCTTGGTCAGACCTGCTCATTCTAGTCAAATGTAAACAAAGCCCTTCTACTTATAGCTTCACATGGGTTTACAGGTATCCTCAAGAGGTGCCAGCAGTGATCGATGAGAATCAGGGAAATGCCCCAACCAAGCCAAATTGCGGAGCTATTTGTTTTCTATGACTGGGCACGGTGTGATACTTCATACTTTGCGACTTGGGAGAATGGGCGAATAGGGAGAATAGGGGAATTAAATTATTTCGAGAATGCGTGCCAAAGAAGTGAGCGAGGCTCGATCAACTCCGCTTATTAGCGACTCTGAAGGACAGGAGAATCGGGAGAGCACGCGTTCACACTGCGATTTGTTCATAATTTAGTATATGCTCACAAATAGTTCGTTGGCCATTTCGTTTTTTGCAGAGCTTATGAAGATAACTCACCAAGTTGAACTTACCGGTCCATGATATAATCTCCATGCATACCCACCACCTTTCGCCAACGATCGGGTAGAGAGGCAACTCCATCCTCTCAGAAGCCGGCCAGCCGCGACTCGCCCAAGTCCTCGATCACGTCCTCGAGGTCGCGCTCGTTCTTCAGCTGTTTTCCGTCCAGGAAGTTTCGCATGGACCGGAAGATGTGGTAATCGCATAGACTGATGTCCGGCTATATGCCGTGGATGCGTGATCGTCTTGATGCCCAGCCTGTCCAGGACGGCCTGAGTATCTCTCGCTTTGTGGGGGCGCGCGTTGTCTCAGAGCAACCACGGATTTGCAAGTTTCTGGGACAAGGCGGCAGCTTTCACCTTGACCTCCTGCAATTCTTTAGAGAGGGGTCTCTGTGGCATTGTTGGGTAGGGTGCTATAGTGGACGACGCCGTGACGAGAGAACCAGAAACCTCGGCATATCTTCGATGCCATAGTTTCCATTGGTGAAGCGAGTCCCCCATTTTGACATCCAGTTCTTAGAAGGGGTGTTATCACCAAACTGCTGACGCATCCTGGTCGTTGGCCTGGACCTGACGTCTGGAGATGTCCAGATTGTAGTAGTCCAGCAACTATCACTCATCTTCACTGCTTTATTGTGGAAAGATCAGGAAAGGAAATTTAGAGCTAGCTAGCTGAGAAGATAGCCCATCGCGAGTACTTCAGTATGCGAACACCATTTATGCAAAATTCACAAACGCGTTGGCGTAAAACGCGACGCCTGCTTACCAAATGGCCATCTACGAACTTTTGTGGACACCCTAATATTACTATGACTTAATTTAGGAACCCAACTTATGCGGACCATCCAGTAGGCGTTGTATAATACTTAGAAGAAAATCTTCAAAATGAACGCCCAGAATAAGATGGCTAAGGTTGCCAAATCCCGTTGCAGCTCTGTGAAACACGGGCCAGGCTGCATAAGAGCGCTGTCAACAGCACGAAGCAGTACCTTGTGGAATTCCGCAAAAGGTTCTCTTGTCTAGTTGCTTATTCACTTTCTATGTCCATCTCCCTCCGTGAGCCACTATATCAGGAAATGAGAAAAAACCTTTCAATTCCGAAAGGATGCTGCTGCTATCGGTATTGTCCTGCATATGACGTCGATTCTGGTGCGACGTGTGTAGGCCTGTGAACACACTTAGTGCGACGGCTGCATGTTTTTCAAAAATATTTTGCGTTGTGTGTTTGCTGAACTTTCTTCGCATTCCCGTTGAGTTCTGTCTTGGATAACGAAATAATAAGAGCAAATGGGAAAGAAACAGCATCAAAAGGACAAGTTGTAAGTTGCAGCTTTATTAAGTATTGTTTCATTGTGTACTTCTCCCAATTTATATTTAATTTATTATTCTAACCATTTGTTTGTCATGCCAAAGGTTTGTTTGAGTGATTTCGGTTACATTCAGGTATCTTACAACCACTGAATGGAAAGAGATCGGTGGTCATAAAGATGGTTCGTTGTTTTACATCTTACGAATATTTTTCATTCCCATTCAGAGCTCTCAGTAGTTGATGTTTAGCTAATAGTTTTGTTTCTTGAATCACCTACTTCGCAATGAGCACCGCCACTTTTTCTACTTACACTTTTCTCTAATTATGGCTCTTCAGTGACACGACTATCATAGTTTTGGGCAATGGGAAATCAGTCTGCTTAGGATTTTTTCACTGAAAACAGCCGTTTGGGAGAGAAGCCTTGGCGTCGATGTTATATGGTGGAGTATTCTGGTTAACCCAAAACACCTGAAACCACTACTAACCCTTCTCCTTCATTATAAGCGATTAGGAGAGCTTCTTTATTTGAGTCCTGAGGGTCACAAGCTACTTCGTATAGTTTGGAAATTTTTAAGAAAGTAAATACTCGGTTTTATTGCGGATACACGTCGCTTGAAGCCCCCTGATACTTTTCCGGAAAGAGCGAGTGGTTCCCAATATTCTCAACCCGAACTTTCTTTCCCGAGGCTTGGACATCTCACTGGTCTCACTGTTTCACCGCAGTCGTTTCTACGCACCTTCCTCCACTCCAGCGCTGTCCAATGTGGAAGAAACTAGAAGAACTGGTGCTATAATGTTCGGAGCTGCAAACCAATTTTTCGGCAAAGTTTTGATTACCTGGTCCGACGAACCATTCGGCATCAGGATGCCCCACACTCTATTCCTCCTTTGCTGAAGTATACCAAAGCTCTTCCACTTGTATGAATTTTCGAGTACTCTTTCAGATACCGGCACTCGGCTTCAACGTGCTCAGTTCAAGCGTCTACCGCTCACGCATTGTTCGCTGTCCTTGCTCCCATTCGAAGATCCTGTCTGTACCCGATCGGGAGAGATATTTGATTTGACGTTGGTTTGTTTCATATTTGGTAACACGTTTCAACTTACGGAAGGCTATTTCATCACCATGTGCAGGATCCGTTTCTGTACTATCCCACTTGAGACCTACGAGCAAGCGATGGGAGATCGGATCTCCGTCATCTAGTAAAGTTACCTCGTCACCTAGTAAGAGGTGCAGGGGGGGCACTAATAGCGCATGTAGAACGTTTTGAAAGTTCTCGTCAGTCTAAATAATACCCCCTTCTCCCAGCGTTCAAATATGACTCTTATTTCGACGAAATTTGTGCTGGAATGTTACCAATTTGTGCTGGAATGTTACCGATTGGCTTCTTAGTTTCAAATTTTCAGGCATATCATCCCTTATCTGAAGAAAAATGGTGTTAATCCATGCACCGGCAAGAAAATGAGCAGCAAAGATCTTATCCACCTGAAGTTCGACAAGGATGAGCAAGGTAATCAATCAGTATTGTTATTTTTCCCTTTCCCAGAGGTTGTTCTCCATTCCAATCCTTTCTCCAACCGCTTTTTCTTTTTTCAATCAGCCTCCTTGCTGTACATTATTTTGTTTAATTTGCTACGATTCCAGGAAAATTCCGTTGCCCTGTGACATTCCGTGGTTTTACTGATCATACACATGTAGTGGCTATAGCTACAACGGGAAACGTTTTCTCATATGAAGCTGTACAGGTCAGCTCACTGAATTTTTTTCAATTTCACTAAATTAACCATTCTTTTTTTGAAATTTTCCTTGCAGGAATTGAATTTGAAAGCGAATCATCTCAAAGATCTCCTCACTGATACTCCTTTCCAGAGAAGTGATATAATCGTTCTACAGGTAATAGTTTCTTGAGAAGACACCGTAAAGAAAAGGTTTCTGTCATGCTCACGTCTTGGCGATTCATTAAAACCTATCACAACTTCCATCTGGAAGTCGATTTCGAGCATGAGTGAAAAATTCCAGGATCCACATCACCTTGAGAAGTTCAATATGGAGAAATTTTATCATGTACAGTTTGATCCCAAAACAAAAGAACAAATAGAGAAGGAGAAGAAAGAAATGCAGGTGTGTATCACGACGCTACCAGTTTTTATCTGCAAAACGGTTCTCATCAGTTTTCGTTCCGCACTTACTAGCACTTCCCGAAATGAATGTCCGTGGCTGCACGAAGTTCTCCTTACGGTCTTCTTTTGTTTACAAGTTCTTTGGGTATTTTATTAGACTGGTACGAGGGAATAGATATGAAAGTTCCAAGGAAATTGCATTGAAGCCCGGTGGCTGTTCGAAAAAGATGGGACGAACCTCACCGGAGCTCCTTCCAATTGGCTTAAGCAGGAATTCTCATTCCATATGACTCACAGTCTTTTTCCAACCCCCCGCCCGAATTCCCACAAAGAAGGGTGCTAGAGTGGTCCGCACCACAAACGCCCTACGTCATGGAGATAATACCCGAGACCTGGTATAGTGAAGCTCTATGATCACTCAATGTTAGACGTTTAGGATCCTAAGTTCTTCATTCGTCGCATGAACAACGAAACGAAAGAGGCGCTGGAGCAGCTCAAGAAGGATTATACCCCTAAAAAGGTGAGTTGATGTGGTTTTGGTTGTTCCTTGGAAGTCGGCAGCTATGATATAGCAACTTGTTAACCTCCACGTTGTCCCTTCTTGTAACCTCGGCATGATGTCGAATGTTTAATTATTTCTGCCAAACGAGGTTGTTAGATGAAACCTTTTATTGGCCTAACGTTTCGACCTTCTCGTCTTCTTCAGAGGCCTGAAAATGGCTCGAAGCTTTTAATTTGTCACCTACCCGATCAATTCCCCACCCTAGCGTTTCCGACGTCGTGTCCCGAACACCCCCGAAGAATCCGGTAATAACCGTGAACTACTCACCGAGGTTCCACCGTGCAAACTCTAGTGGGTCTCATTCGTCCTTATTTATCATACTGACACATAGCGTGAGCTAGGCTCCGCACGGTGGAACCTCGGTGAGTAGTTCACAGTTATTACTGGGTTCTTCGGGGTGTTCGGGACACGACGTCGGAAACGCTAGGGTGGGGAAGGCGCTTGATCGGGTAGGTGACAAATTATTAGGTTGTTCGAAAAGTCCTGCGACACTTTGACCAAATTTTTCGAACTAAATTTCTGGTCAGTAAAGGACATCTCCAATCTACAAGGTAACCGCAGTTGATGACTAGGACTAGTGCCTTTCTTTTGCACAGCTTCTCATTTCCATTCTCATAGAACTACGGCAACTATGATAAAAAGAAGAGGTGGACCTCATTCTCGAGTTGAGGTCGATTTTCGGAATTTTTGCTTTTAAAGGATGCGATAGGGACCAAAGGAGGTGGTAATTAGAGGCTGCTAACTTTGTTAAATAACCTGGGTACGGTCGCATTCTCTGATCGAAATCCATGATCTTTTGGCGTAGCCTGATCCCCACATGCGGTCTCGCATTACCGAGTAGTAGAGAAAAATTGAGTATTTCTGAATGAATTCAAGCGTGACGTCATCCATATTTTGAAGTCGATTAAGGTGGACTGTGGTCCTTACAACGGTGCTGGTATCCAGTGATACCGCTTTGAAGTCCCACCAATAACACACTGAAATCTTTATCCCATGCACATCTGCTTTTGGCTAAGCAATCTACTTTTCTGTTTGAGAGATCCTGCGAGGGACATGTGCATGATGTACGCAAGGACTCCAACACTCGCTACCAACCACAAGATCTCACAAAAGTTCTTTCGCTGTGTACAAGGAAAAGAAAACTCAGTCACGGTCATTCGGTATGACTTGTCAGACGGGTCCAACTCATGAGGCATCCTTCACAAAAAATTTTCCGATAACCGAGATTGCGGAGAAGCATGGCAGTTGTCAGTCAGGTGGAGCCTAGAGAGGTTGCCAACTTACCGGTGGTTACGTTCGGCTGCGCCTCAAGAAGCTTGAGTAAAGGGCCGTCATTCTGTGCTGATGGGCGACCTATACATTGCCTAACTACGAGTTAAATAAGTCCAGCCTGAAGCGCTGATGCAAAAGCTACCCTCTGCCATGGCAAGCGATATCCTTCCTCAAGACAACGTAGGTGTCAGCTTCCTCGACTACGGCGGAGTGGCCCTACAGGAACTCATAATATGGGACAGGTCGAAAAGTACCTCGATCTCTGGGGGACTTTTAAGCTTTGAAAACTTCCTCAAAGTCATGATATACCCATGTGCAGAAACCCCAGAGGACACTCTCCACTAATCAGGGATAAAAACATCCAAAATGATTTTTGGTCTTTTTCTAGAACAATTCAATCAAAGTGTCGCAGGACTTTTCGAACAACCTAATAAAAGCTTCGAGCCATTTTCAGGCCTCTGAAGAAGACGAGAAGGTCGAAACGTCGGGCCAATAAAAGGTTTCATCTAACAACCTCGTTTGGCAGAAATAATTAAACATTCAACTTGTTAACCATTTTTTCCTTTTATTTTCTTCTTCATCTGCGTTTACGTGATTCCTTGTGAGTGTGACCCGCTAATTCTTCACAGCTCGAGCGATTCATTCCTGCAACATGAGAATCGCGCGACTGTGACTGGCCGCGCCCCACCGCTTATCGTGGGCCCCTTGTCACTGTCAATTCGACCAGAATAGACTTTTTTGACGTTTTGCGGCGGTACGAGGATTAGCGATGAAGCTCGATTGATCACAGTGTCGCGAGTAATTCGCTCGAGTGGTAAAAAAATGAACGCAGCTTCATATTTCCTCTTACAGATTGATGCTGTAGCTGAAGAAACGGCTGATGAAATTAACGCGGCACATTACAGGTTAGTGAAAGTTCTTGTATTCAATTATTATCAGGCTAAAATTGATTCGTTCTCGTTTATCCTTATAGTCAAGGACATGTAGCTGCTGGCTTCACATCTACAACAATGGCACCTATTACAAAGCAGAAGGCTGCAGTTCTTTCAGATGAAACTGTGAGGTGAGTTACTTGTAGATGACTCCCGCCAAAGTGATACTGTGGATATAGTGAATAAACTAGCGTTTTTGTCAGTGGTGAAGGCGGGGGAGATATAAGACTTGGTTAGGACTATGGACGCCATGTCTCTCATGATCGTGGGGCGCATTTAGGCTCCGCTTTTTCTTCCTCTTTCCTTCTTTTCCTTTCTTATTTCTATCTTTCCTCCTTTACATTTTCTTTTTTCGGAGGCTCAGCTGGAAACGGCATTAAAAAATACCTTCGGACCCTTGCAGCGAGAGAACATCCGGTTGATAGAAATTCTGTAGCCTGTAATTATTGAAAAAGTTGTTTTAGATACGCTCGGGTAAAGAAAAATGGCTATGTACGTATCGTTACAAATCACGGATCGTTGAATCTTGAGCTGTGAGTTTTCCTTGTTGTAATTAGTTCCTGGTTTGTTGGTTCTTTTTACCATAGAACTAGTCCCTTCTTGCCTTCAGATTTTGTCCAAAGGCTCCGAAAACATGCGAAAATTTCATAACGCTGTGTTCAAAAGGCTACTACAATAACACGAAATTTCATAGGATAATAAAGAATTTTATGGTATGTCTCACAAGTTACGATGTTTACGAAACTGACCCATTGCTTACGTCTTTTACTGCTTCTTTGATCTTTTTTAGGTTTGTTAAAGTTTTTCATTCAGATGCAAGGTGGTGATCCTACTGGGACTGGGCATGGCGGAGAATCCATGTGGGGCAAACCGTTCGAAGATGAATTCGCACCTGTAAGTGTTTTAATCATGGACCTGATTGATATTTAGTATCTTCAACCGCTGGAGAAACTTTGCTAAGTGTGCCTATTATTTATAATATTATTCCTATTCCTCTTTATAGTATTATAATATTTTCCCTTTCATATTTTCAGGGTCTCTCTCATGATTCACGAGGAATTCTGTCCATGGCCAATAAAGGAACGAATACGAATCAGTCGCAGTTGTGAGTTTTTCGAAGTTTCCTTTTGAGCAAGAGTATTTCAACACAAGGATCACTATATTTCTCAAGTAATCAATTTAAATACACGAACCTTGTTCAAAAATGGTGAATTCTGCAGCGTCAAAATCAAATGAAAGCGGGTAGGTAGCACAAAAGCGAGGAGAAGTACAGGAAACCCTGCCCGAAATGCCGCGAATTATAGTATGCTATGCTGGACCGCGCCCTTAACAGCTCCTTCTTTTTATCGCCTCACTCTCACCATTCGTGGAGGTGAGAGTTAGTAACGGAACCCTTGTACCATCAGGTAGCACTCAAATATGGATGTCGGGCGTCAAATATGGACGAGATACCGGGAGGAGCCATGGCTTCGTCACGAGCGGGCGTCGTTTTCCTCACGTACTTTTAAGTTGCGAAATTAGTACATCCATCATGCTTGCGGGTGGGACTACCATGTCTGAATAAGGCGTCTGCGTATCATTTGAAAGCTGAACGTGCCTGGTTCGACTTTGTGTGGAGATCATGGATATTGACCAGCAAAATACCTAGTTTATTTCAGTTTTATAACTTTCCGTCCATGTAAATATCTGGACAAAAAGCATTCCATATTTGGTCGTGTGGTTGGTGGTCAAGACACGCTAACATCTATTGAGAGAGTTGAAACTGAAAGTGATATTCCAAAAGAAGTAAGTTCCTGCATTTTTGACCCTGTGCTACTTAAGTCCTCAAGCTGTGCATTTCAGCCTGTAGTGTTTATGCGTGCCGAGGTATTTGTTGATCCATTTGAAGAGGCTGAAGCAGAAGTTCAAAAAGAGCGAGCTAACTTACTCAATAAAGGTAACCTGTTGATTGTAGTATTTCGTCGCTGATCGGATTGGCAGGGGCATTTTGCACTTTTGCTAGACGTGTCGAATCACAGTGATCGACGGAGTCTAGCAAAATGCTCCCACCAAGCCGCACTGCTCCAGTTTTTCTTCCCTAATATTAACGGATGTACTAATTAATTTTGTATAAATGCATGGCATTAGACTGATAGCTGTTTGATATGTCCAAATTTAGACGCAGAAAAGGAAGCTGAAGCCAAAAAGCAAGCAGCAGCTAAGCCTAAAACTTTTGGTTCTGGGGTTGGAAAATATATCAATCCACAGAATAAAAGGCCTGCTGTAGGAGATGTAAGTCCAGGTTTCACTTGATTGTGACGCTATTTCCGTGATCAATTCTGGCCTTGTTTAAGGTATCCCCATCTCCGATTTTGATAAAGAAGAAAGCAGTAAAAACTACGTTATCAGATTTCTCTTCATGGTAGTATTGCTAAAATAAATAAAAAAAACTGAATAAATCAATCTCATCTGTCATTGTTATCACATGCGGGTTCTCAAGTTGAAATAAAGATGATGATGATGATGTGTTCTGCGGGTTACCTCAGGTTATTCATCGGTACGGAAGCAGAAGGGTTGCCATTTTCTTTCGCATGGAGTGGGGAGCATCACATTTTTGCGGAACGAGCCTTTTCCGTAATCGAACGAGCTCGCTTTTGCTGACCTACATTCACCACACTAATAATGCTTATTCGTCGGGGATGAGAGATCCCGGCAGAACGCCGCAGCGGAGGCGATTTTAGAAGCAGATCGCGTGCGCGGCATTCGCTCCAATGCATAACTTTTAGGCGAGTGCTAGGTTGATCGCAAGATATCTGCCAAGCGCGGAACCTCCCTCCTCCTTCCTTTTTGCCTCGTCATTTTCCTTCCTTCCTTCTATCTCACCTCTGCTTTATCTTCCTCCTTCCCAGAGGACGTCAAACGTCGGGTAGTGTTCAGAGGAAGGGGGTCGTATTTGGTCGCTGGAGCGAGCGCGGTCGCATTTTGTCCGATTTTCTTTCGATTGCAGGTTCGTGCCGTTGTGCGGTTTGGGGTCCGTTCCCCCTGCTGGTCCAGTAAAATGCTCGCCTCCTCGACTGACAGTGCTGCAGCTTTGTTGTTCGCGAAAGTTTCTCGGACAACTGAATCCGGAGAGGAATAATTCCGAACTTTTCGACTACGTCGGGCAACGCGGTATAGTCCTATGTCGATTTCTCTCTCCCTTATAGCGTACATACAGTACGTCTCCGCCCTTCTTCTGCCTAAACACTCGCAACCACCACCGTGCGTACCGAAAAACGCCCCATCTTCCCCTCGCATATGGTCTGTATATCAGTCCATATGCGAGAGCAAGATGTGGTTAGTGATAAGCCGGTCTCTTCCCTTTCCCGAAAGGAAAAACTCCCGAAAGAAGTTTCTCTGTAAGAGTACATTGTAGATCAATCATATTGGCAAATCTTATCATATCACATTAAATACAATCAATAAGTCAGTGCTCTGTGGGCAAAATGAACCGTACTTGTATGTGACTAGTATGTCAAATTATTATTACTAGTAACATTATTACAATACTGTAGAAATCTCTGTGCATATGATTAGATCAAACAAGGCGATAAGGCACAGTGTGAATCGAAATCACTCAAAAGACCTGTCGAAATGTTCCAGGAGTTTTCTTATACTTTCCTGACAGATGGGCGGAGACTCATTGGTGGTACAGCATGTTAGCTGCGGATGTTGGGGCGTGTCAGGGGGTTGGGTTTAGGGCGGCGCCAGCCTCTCGTCCAATAGTTGAAACCTGTAGGCCAAACAACTGGTGGAAAACCAGCTGGGCAAATCCAATCTCATGACACGCTTAGCGCTCGCAGCAAACAAGGATGTATTGACAAGAGAACTGCTTTCACGCGTGTTGGGTAAAATCTGGGGTCAGCTCCCACCTTCTGGGACCAACAAGCTGATAGCGGACTCGCCTAGGAGCATAAAAGTACAGATTTGAACACCGGCTGGCCTCCGCAGTCTGCACAATAGCGCATTCGAACCTATGCCTTCTATTTCTAAAACATTTCTCTTTTTCTGAGGTGGGAATTGTCAGCGTTATAAGTCATACTTCGGACTCTGGGAAAAGGAGAAGCATCTGGTGCTGATTCGTTCACTGTGTGGATGCGCCAGGCCTTCTACTTTTATTCAGGGTTGTAGTTATTTTTTGAAGGCGTTTTGGACTCCCAGTACGGGGTCCTGTTTGGTCGCTGGAGGGGAAGAATGGGGTCGTCTTTGCCTTTTCAAAAAAGTTTTATTCTTGACTTTTCTCGGGGTTTCTTGCCTTGAGTGTGTTCACCCCTCGCCTGAACGACAGTTTTTTTTCTTGGAGGCGGAGGGCGGGGGGGGAGGTAGGGAAAGTGGAGGAAACTCCAGAAAATAGTAGGAAGATGGGAAGGGAAGAAAAGGATGGGGAGGGGGGGGACGCACCAGAGAAGGACAGGACATGTCCTGTCAACGGCACCCCTAATTAGTGTACCAGTTCCGCTTCTAACAATAAATCGAGTTAAAGGAAGTGTAGAATTCTCATGGAACATCCCTATAAAGCTGACGGACAGTAAAGTACAAATGTAACAGCTTCTGTTATTGTAACAGCTTTTGGATCATATGTGGAGAATCTTCGTAATCACTAGAGCATCTAATATGAGGACCGGTTTCAACATAAAGTTCCCTCCCCATCTGGCAAGAATACCACCTGCCCGTTCATCTCATTGTCTGCTATAGGATACATGAGGGTGAGCGTTGTTCGTCGTCCAGCAGTGCCGTTTATTGGCTCCACCTGTACTGATTTAGCTAAAAAAATTGGAAATTATTACCAGTGATCCACATTGAAAAGGTTTTCTCTACGTTTCTTCGTGCAAACCTACCTGAGCCATTTTGAATTATTCGAATAGGTGAGCCTTCTGTCCTCGTGAGCTTGCCATTCATGTCCTTGACATCGTTTATGAATCTCGTTTGCTCCAGATGGTCCAAAGAGGAGTATTCCAGGTTTGGCGTTTTTGATAACTGTAAGCCAGAAGCTAACGTATTTGGCGTAGAAGGCAAACATGGGTGGAACGAGCAAGAGAAAATACTAATTATGTTGCCTTCAGGTTTTTTATTTCACCATTCTGCAATATTCACAACCGGTGAGGGTACCCAAGTAGGATGACCGCTACCAACATTACTTGTGGAAGACGATATGTAGCATTGGGCGGTGCGCGGCAACTTCTGGACATCCTGTCGATCGGGGCGACGAGAGATATATGAATTCACGTGGGGACAAGACTGCATGGAAGAGGATATCGGATTTTCCGTTCCTTTGATATTCTAATTCTTACGGTCAGGAGGTCAACTCGTCCACTCGCGCAGCATTTCAAGCCAAGCCATCCAACGCGGCATATTATGATTTTCTCGTCACATACCCCTTATCGGCACAGGGGGAGCTACATCCAATTCGCGACCTTCGTGAGCACTAGACGCAAGTTTCTTGGCTAGTGGCCTTGACTAACAAAGAGAGAGCAAGTTCACGCACAGACGCGGATAGAGTTGACAGAGTCGAGGCGTCGCGGCCCTGCTACATGGATTGGGTCCCGGTGAGAAAGCTGCGTATGTCACCCAGCTTGCGACGCCTGTTTCGCCCCACTTGCCGCGACTCGGGAGCAATGCCACATAACGTTTTTGGAGAGCACGTTCATTCCCTACAACCCGATCGCCTGAGTCGCGCGACCGCGACTGGAACAAATGTGCTTCACCGCTAATCGATGTATCGCTGCAACGAAATAATTCGAGTAGGCTCATATAATACTGTCGGGACACGATCCAATTAAATCTGCCATTGCCGCGGTCTTCCTACTAGCGGTGGAGCGGCTTGCGATTCAAACGATCGATCGTGAAGTATGAACGCGCTCCAGGCTAACTGCTTCCCTACGATCACAGCCATGTAGATCGCCTTGTGGTTAATGCGTTAAGTAACAACTGAATCAGAAAATGAACTCAACAAGATTCTCACCCCATGAGTGCTCGAATTGCTTCTGCCACCGGCGCTGATCGACCCTCGCAGGCCCTTAGCTGCGGCTGTAGCTCGCTTGCCCCAAGTCCGCCATATACTGAACTTGTCATGCGTCGGTAGCCGCATAGTGATACTTCGTATTCCACAGCCGTAAACGATAATTAGCTCCTTCCTTAATTGAATATTCATAAGATAATGAACGAAAATAACACTCACATGTGAATAACATTGCTGACCTAAATTCTTTACCAAATACTATATAAATGACAAAATTAATTGACGAATTGATTATCGCTAGGAAATTGATGGCTTCTCGTGAAAAGGTGTAGAAAACGTGATGTTTCACCATCTGAAAACACTATTTGATGAAAAAAGTGTTCTTTAATTTTGATGACCTCTCAAAAAAAAGGCTTCAGCATTGACGGTAACTTTCTGGATGCGCCACGTATTCTCCTTTCATTCAGAAAGTTGCGAGGATTTGAATGCTATGTAGGCGCTATTTCACTATACTTTCAAAATTTCGCTGGAATGTCGCCTCGATGCGGGGTCTAGAGTATTCCGTGTCCTGTTTGAGAAGATATTAGCCTATTAGCCATTTTAAGCGTTGCCCCCACCTGCGCTGCCAGCGATCCAGGGTGGAACCTTAGATCGACTCCCTCAAAGGTCAAGGAAATCTTCCATCTTTTGGGTTCTGTCTTGTAGCACCGCACTTGTAAGACAGAGCGAATGTTACATGGGCTAATCTTCGCATGTTATCTCATAGCCAAAATCGCACTGAAAATGTACTACGAGTCTGCATAAAAGTGATAGGCGCAGTCTAGCGACGAGAGAGGGGGCATTTTGCACTTTCATTGCTCCAGTAGTCCTGTTTTACAAGTTTCATTCTGGTGAAATTTGTGCTCTGAATGGTGATGAAGCAGGAGCAATCTCGTCGAGCGACCATGACGAGGCTTTCCAACTCTTGTAAGCTAGCG